TCATCCTGCCCCCCTCCCCCATGAAACTAATGGACCGTACAATCAAGAAAGAGATGTCACTTCTTCAGTTCTCAGTGACCAGGGAGTGGATATGAAGCAACCAAGAAACTAAGTATATGGATATTTAAATTTCAACCGATTCAGATCATCATTTTATGAAATTTAATTTTAGCATTTCATAATGACTTATTTGTGACTCATTTTGGAAAAGTATTTGAACGCGTGCATGCTTTAAAGTGGTTTAGGCCATTCCCCAATATTTTCCCCACGTAACATTTCGCTTCCTCCATAATTTCATCCATGCATGTCCCAAGGAATTGAAAAAGACAGTTTTTCTTTTCCGATAACTATATAAAACTTCATTTAAAGAAAATAATGACAGTCCATATTTGTACTTGAGAAATAGTGAAGAAGGGGGAAATTTGCGGAGTGGCCCTTCCTAGTTATTGTGACCTGTTTGTCACTGTATTCAGTGTCAGCATAGAGGCGAAAGGTTAGCATATCAACATTTAGATACTCATACTCAGTATACACGGCTCTTGTATCTCAAAACTGCCAGATGGTTTTAGACGGTAACACTTGCTTATCATCTTGACGTAAGTAGGTCAATGTGGTGCCACGCTTGTAAACGAGAGAAAAAGTATCGATATTATGCATAATTTCTAGTGTTGACAAGTTTGAATGCCATTTAAATTTAAAGATCGAGACAATTGCTTAATTCATTAACTGAAATGAATAAAGCCCCTAGCGCATTTTGAAGATATTAATTATGAATGTATTTGCATTATGAAACAAGTAGACAAACTGAAGGCTAAACAGTTGGTACACGGAGGCTTCAATGAAATATTCTTCTTTGCCATAAAAACGGTCGGTGCTTGTGAAAAATGTTTTAAAAAATGCGCTGGAAGGATTATTCATCCCAGTTTTATCTATAGATTTTCTGAAAACAAAGGCAATAATTCAAATGAGAATACATGTACAATCCGTTAAAATGTACGAGGTTAATCATTAGTTTTAAATAAAGATAAAATATATTTTGACGGTTTTAAGCTCAAAGCAAGATTTTTCCAGCAATTTCGCCAAGATATATCCTATCCAAAACTAGTGAGAAAATTGCGAACGTAAAGTCCGTTTTTGAATTATTTAATATATCATTTTAAATATTTCTGATTTTTTCCCTTCATAGGTGAAAATCATCAATCTCTATCTCCATTACGAGAGTGACTGAAAAAAATTTTAGCTCAGAACTGCTATAGCGTATAAGTGGATATGATCTACCATGCTCACGTGATTCTATTTTAAGGTGCATAGGGTAGAAATAAATTAATTTCATGATTTATATCAATTTATTCAACAGAACTGTAATTTTATTACGAGTTATTGACCAAACATGAAACCGAAAGATTTATATCAAATTTTATATACAGATACTAGATGTATTATATACGGACACTATATGTTTTAAGTACAGATACTGAATTTTAACCATTTATTTATTTTATTCAAATTTGCTGAGTGACTTATGTTAAAAAGGAAGGTTTCTGTTGAAAATCGGCATGACCGGATAATTTTTACAAAAGTTGCTGTATTTCATTATTTATTTTATATTTTTCTAAGTGTCTAGTCTGGTGTGAATATGTATGCATGTACAATATGAAACGTTTTATTCTTATATATAACTAAAATTTGTAACATTAATTTGCTGAACAAATCTTTGTGTTGCGTTAAGATGAAGAGACTATTTATGTAATTGAAAGTTGTCATTTTTTCTAAATTTTGCTGTTTTCTTACCAGCATCTTCCATTTCATCAACCAGGTGGCGCAGAATATAAGTAAAATGTTTATATTCTTGCATTTAGAAAAATGAATATTATAACAGTTGCACACCGTTTGTAACAAGATTTCCTTTTTGGATTTAGATGAAGGGTATATTGTGATATGCCCGTCGGATTTTTACCCAGATTTCATACCTGTACATGTTGCATATGTTTTTATAATATATAAATAGAGAGAGAGAGAGAGAGAGAGAGAGAGAGAGAGAGAGAGATAGACTGTTCGGAGATTTTGTAGATATTGAAATACTTTGTTTAGTATCAATAAGATCAACCATAAGTACAAGTAATTGAGTTCATAGTTTATTAATCAAATCGAATATGGAAAAGTTTGTGTCTTTTACATTTTCAAATAAAGCAGATATCAATTATTTTGTTCTACATAGTCAACGCTTGTAATGATGAACATATTCTGAAAAGACAATGTAGTTAAACAGGGAGATGCTTTAGAAATACATGAATACTTAATGTAAATATGTTTTGCTCTCAATAAAAAACTTCTCAAATATACGCAAAATGTCTTTGTATTTTCATTTGTAACTACACGACTCAGCGGTAAAGTCCGAGTTTGGGGGTTCGATTCCTGGCTAGGGTACTCGGAAATAAGAGGGACTTATAATTTGTTTTTCTTTTGGTTACTATAAGAAGAAAGTCTACCCGGGGAGGGTGGGTGGGAACAGTTAGAGGAGTAGGTAACGCGCTTGCCTCTGAGACAGAAGGTCGCCAGTTCGATTCCTGGCATTCCTGGGTCCCAGCAAATTACCTTTTGCAAAATAAAATCAAATAAGCACTTTGGATAACTACAAGGGGACCATACGATTTGTTTAAAACCATCAGAGTCGATAGCTCACTCGGTAAGACGACAAGCTCATGGGCTATACGCCAAGCACGACTATGTGGAAAGCAGAAAGCCATGGGTTCGAGTTGAGCTGAAGGTAACGTCAATAAGAAACACAATATTGACTTTTTGCATAGTTTGAAAAGTAAATAAAGGTTATTAAAATTTTACATCTTACACACATCTTACACAGGATTTCAAAGAACTGAAAATTGTATTTTTTATCTATATAAATAGCCGCACCCGATACAACATAGCATTACAAATTTTAATTTAAAAAAATACAAATCGAGCTTAAAACAACTACCACTATTTCCAACTAAAACACATAGGTGATTCTATGCATTTTGAAATTAGCTGCTCAAACGACTAATTCTTTTGATTTTTTTTTTTCTTGAAAAATGTTACGGTGTACATAATACTAAGAAGAACATAAAATTCCCAGGGTTTTACCCAGAAATAATAAATAAATGAGAAGACTGACCGTGTAATACAGTAAACTTCTGTTCAAAAATGACACAAGTGTAATTGTCTTATAAATGATTGCAAATTTCACGGAGGAACATTTTATCCAAATGCAGTGGCATCTACGATATCAAAAATTCAAAATGCATAGCATCTCTTCTACGTACTACCTCCACAGGACTACACACCTTATTCCATGTCGTCATGCTGATTATCGCACGCAACACCTTGAAAAATTAATTTTGGTAAGATTAGTGGCCCTTTGTATATGATAATTGTATATGTAGATCGTATGTTGCGTAATTTTCTTCTTTCGCATCAAAGCATAAAAAACGTGGTTGCAGTGAATGGCACATTTTGAGTGAACACTAGTTTGTCGTGCGAAACAAAGGCAGCATGAAGACATGATTGGTTTACAACCTAATCCCAGTTATAGCCATTTTTAAGAATTATATGCAAACACACTGAAAAGTTTACACAAAAATCCGTTTTCTCAAAATAAGTTAAATCTCATAAACTTTATAAGCAAATTCTTATAAACTCAACTCTGGTCTTCAGTGTTATGTGATCAAGCAACACCCAGCAAAAACAACCCAACAGGACTGATATCTAATCAGGACTTTTGATCTAAATCACCCCTTCAACCCTACCAAAAACAAGGACGTTTGTGTGTTTTTTAATTTGTGTTATTATTTATTATCATTATATCATATTATTTATCATCATTACTTTTTTCAAAATTTCCTGTTGAATTGTTTTTTTAAATTATTTGCTGAAGAGGACTGAAAAAGATGACCGTCTACAAAACTTCATTTTGATAATTAGGAATATCCATTACACTTTGCGACAGCTTATGTAGTAATTAAAAAATGTCATCATAATAACACCTTCTATGATTTACTTTATTTCTTGGTGAAGATTTATAAATATGCTTTATGATATTGACTTAGTCTTGAATGACACACAAATTGACACTATGCTGGGAATTTTGGTAGTCTAATTAGAAATAAGTTTTTCTCATCAAATATACAAGTATCTCCTCACTGTAATACATGTATATTTATTTCGAAAAAATCTATCCTACCCCTAGTTTCATAGCGTAAAAGCAATAGTTTGTCCCCTTCCAGCACTGAAATATTGGTCTGTCACTTGATAGTCACACGCAGTCAATACACCGAGAACCAAAGTCAGTTTATTCTTAGCTTGTATCACACCGCATATTCACAATTTTATTAAGATTCCAATACGTGTGGGCAAATTGAAATAACGTGAGCACATCTGCACTTTCATAATAGTGTAATTTCAGAAGTGTTATTATTTTTTTTATAATATAGTGTTTTCAATAACTTGTAGATTTACATCTTGTTCTCGTCTTCAACTGAACACAGTATGTCTAGAGAGTTTCCTGTATGCATTTTACGTGATGGAGTCCTTCCAAAAGTTAACTTTATTAAAATTTCTTTTTTGTATTAAGATAAAATAGCAATTATTTTCAAGAGAACTTCGTCTTATTACATATTTGTCCACACGTTATTTTACAACTAAACAGAAAACCGGTCGTACTAGCACAGTGCTCTACCATGGCTTACTGATAATTTTATGGCAATCACTTGATTATTTTTGATAATTTTGTAACGATCAGTTCATCATATTGTTTCCATTCATCTCTTAACCAAGGCCAGTTTTTATCGACATCAATTCTGTTTAAGAGCTATTCCGAAAGTGTCGTTTCAGGTTCGAGAACTGACGAAGAGAGAGCACTGTACATGTACTACTACTTAGAAGCACACACACACATATATCGTATTCCAGAGGCGGATCCAGGTTTATTTGAAGAGGAGTACGAAGCCTGGGCTGTGGGTCGGGGCACGCTAAAGGGCCACAAAATTTTTTGATATTTTAGAGGGCAAACGGTGCCATTCGGTACAGTTTAGACCTATGATTCAACTAGTCAAAATTCTAATTTCAAGAGGGGACCATTGGTGTGATTTTTTTTAGAAATCGAAGAGGGGGGGTTAGGTCCCACCTGACAACCCCCTAAATCAGCAATATTCTGGTTTGGCGCTTGGACTTAGTCCATGAATAAAACGCTCGCTATGTTCGATTCTATGTTCGATTCACGTATGGTACAAAATATTATTACCCAAAGCAATCGTTACATTTCATAACAAACGGCAACCCTGTAAATTAACTAGAAGACAAACTTCGACAAGCGAGACAATCTTGACATGGATGCAGGCGCTAGCCACTCAAATCTGATGTCTTTGATGGAAGACGCATCCAGTAAGCGGTAGTTAGGAGTCACTGAAAATAAACGGAGAAATCCACATTAACGGGGCGATGCCTAATGGTTTGATAAAGTAATAAACATATAATCGTCACAAAAATACAATTAAGTTATTTTATACACGACAATATAGTAAACTTAAGGTAGATTTATTAGACTAAGGTGTATCCCTCCATGAGGAATATCGTGATGATGGTAAAAGTGCCCACACATGCATGCACCATTTTACACTTAAACCGGTCGTATTATAGAAATGCACTTTATAGTAGGAGAGTTATTAAAAGTTACCAGTTCTCGGATTACGCAAATGTTTTATTACGGTAAAATCTGATAAATAAAATGTTTGAGTGACGGAAATAAATTTTGATAAATATTTGACAGAAGGGTCCGGTTGGCTGACTAGGATAATTCAACTGTTTGGTGTGTGCAGGGACGGAGAAATTAGTTTTTTCTCTCGTTTCGTTCGTAATGCTGTTAATTCCTGGAGGAGTAAGCTTACCTCCGAAGCTAAGGAAGGGCTACCCCCCCCCCCCACCCCCCACGGATGGTAACTACCCTCTACCAAGGCCACAGATTTTTCATTAGATATTCACAGATATGTCTCTAGTTAAATGATAGGACTTTTCTGCACAATATGCGCACCTAGTAGGTTGTATGATTAAAGTAGATCTTCTTCAAATTCCAGTGTGCTTACATAAATGATACCGTATTCCGAGCGATAGCAAATTCAGGCCGTTTTTTAAGAAACAAATAATTAACGTAAATATTTTAATAAAGATTAGGAACGAAAATGTAATCATGAACACTTAAGTCAAAGGAGGATCACAGTGCCAACCAAATATGTTTGTTGTCAGTAAACAGAATATATTTTACACTTCGCTATCGTCTAGAATGAAAAGAGTGCCATTAAGGAGTTATGGATGTATTACCTGTCCAGTCGTAGTGTTTAAGACTGATTTATGCGTTCAGAACTTTGGACAGCTGGAATGAACCGCCACTTTTTTATTGGCAAATGCTCTTCCTCTGAAAAAATAATATAAAATAATTAATTAAGCTTTAAGTTCATTTTGCTTTGAGCTCACTGAAACAGGGTCCTGAGAACGATGTTGTAGGTTTGCTTAGCCCTCAGCGTATTATACGCCGTACGGCAGCGGGGCTGTACATGCGTATCCTCCCCATGGAGGCGATATATATTTTTATTATTTGAAAATATTAAATATTGAATTTTGGACTTCAAAGCACTCACGCCAATGGCCATTATGCCTAAAATAGGAAATGCTCCATTTTGGGGAAATTTCGTCAACGCAATGTATGCAAAGTAATCTTAGTAATCAGCACAGTACTTACCAAAAATTGCTGGAGTTTTCAGTGCCTAAATATCGTTCTTTATGTGGGAATTGTAGCAGTGTGGCATTTGAGGCTCCTTTTTTCACCATCTTCTACTGACCTCGGACCTATCTGAACACCTCTCACGAAAATACTCGCCTGGATTACATAATAAGGACACTTGACCACCTTCCGATCGGAAGCCTCGATTTAGTCTTTGTTACTAATAAGGCGTGTACACGGATTCCTTTTCCCAGTAAGGCGATTCGCGGTTTCTGAAATAAAAATGGTTAAAATAATCACATTTTGTCAGTCTTAATACTTGATATCAACTGAGCAATCAGATTTCATGGGTCGAATGAATGAACAATAAGGCGCGGGATTGTGGTAGAGAAGACAGGACGGGCGCACACACACACACACACATACACACACAGTTGGTGTTGGATGTGCGGCCCGCTGAAGGGCCCCGGAAATTTTGGTATTTTAGAGGGCGAACGGTGCCATTTGGTACGGTTTAGAACTATAATTCAGCAGTAGTCAAATTTCTAATTTCAAGAGGAGACCCCCCTGACCCCCCCCCCTATAAATCCGCCACTGTTAATATACCAGTATTAGAATATTAAAAGAATGGTAAACTACAAAACTATCGTCTTTATAAAAACTTTGCACTTTGAATTTGACCAAATAATTATTTATAAAATACATGAATTAGAAGACCCGTTTATTGGCAGATGCGTAGTGAAGGGGAAATATAACCATTCATATATCATAAGACAGTTTAATGGCATAATTGAATCAAAGCAACTCGCATTTCCTTTATTGGATATTTTCTTATAATGATTCAAGTGAGGAGAATAGGTCCATTTTGCAGGGTAGAGGTCTGTCAGAGACTGAGACTGAAATACTTGCTAGGGCTGAATATTTTCTGAACGGTTACTATTTTTCTGTCGTAAATTTAAACGGCACTGGGACACTATTGGAATGTCTTTAACTTTTTAAAGTTATAAACCTGTGACAATGAATTATGCGAATGAACAAATATCATCTGTTTAATGCCATGCTTTCAGCCAGCATCTTGGTAATAGCTTCAAAAGTTTTCAATCCATGCCTGAGGATTACCTTGAAGGCACCAACTGCTCTTTAGGCCCACCTTACAGAGAGCTGTACTCATATTGTAGGGTCCAAGGAATTGCAAAAACACCATTTCTACCCTAGAGATTTTGACAAAAATTGTAAGACGTAATCTGCAGACCATGAAATGACTGTCTATTTATCTAAAGTCAAATCTGTGAATATCTTGTGAAAAATCAATCTGTTGCCCTGGTAGAGGGTAGGGTGGAGGGGCAAACGCCACCCCCCCCCCAAGTCCCTGAAAATTCCGACCCTGATGAAACAACCAGAATAAATGTCCCCAACCCTGCTTGAACAAAGCCAGAATTCCCAGCAGACTAGCGTGCATGCTATCGTTTGTTTCTCGAGAGGTGTCAGTGATTGTCTCTGAAATTCCTGATCTCAGTCCTCACCAGTTGGATAAACCCCAAAATTATCTAGACTTGGAAACTAATGATGTATTTTCTTTATAATATTAAAAAAACAGTGCTAAAATAAGTCAGAAAAACAACATTCCCCTTTTTTAATTATTGTGTTTTAATGGAAATCTCAATTCATATTTGTATATTCCTGCACAGCGCCATACATGTGTACGGCCTCCGCAATGAAAAAGGAGTGCTTCAGAACACAGCTCTGACTGGTGTGTACAGCTATTGTATGACACTCCTCACAGCAATAGGGGTGGAAATAAACTTAGTTTGTTTAGATTATGTAAACAAGGATTACGAGTTAGTTGTTATGTCAAAGAAAAAAGAAAAAAAAAGAAAAAAAACCATCATCGTCAATTAAACACCAAAGCGTACTTGTTAAGTACAGGTGTGGTATGGGGTGATCCCGTTTTAAATAGAAACAGGTCGATATGAAGAATTAGCTATCGTGGAAAGAACGTGTCCATTATTTGAATCTGAGTGTATAGAGGATGAGGCCCACTTCTTAGTTAAATGTTCGTTTCTATTGATGAACGAGTTGAATATTGCCAGGCGTTTTAACAACAATTCTGATGATTTAAGTTTTTTATTTTGATTATTAATGATAACATGTTTAATTTAGTTGCCAAGAGCTGCAGCCGATTTTAAGATTTAAAGAGAGATTTTATCTATGAATAATACTTAGAAGTATATTTTACGTGATATCCAGTCTCTCAGAGTTCTATACAGAACTACCATGTTTTACTGCTTTGAATTCTGTACTTCTTTTTATATGAGCGAGACCAATATAAAATATCTTGAAAAAAATATCATATAAATACAACAACGAATCTTCTGACCAGCCATAATTATTTATTAGATACAACATTTAACACTAGCAACATTCTTTATAACTAAACCCAAATAAACTTGGATAAAACTAATACAGCTTACACTAGACATTGAAGACAGCACATTACAGGTAAAAGACAAAATCAAATAAACAAATTCAAAGACATCCAGGCAACGTACAGGGTACAAAGTAGATGGCAGAAGAGTTTTAAAAATATTATATATATTCACCAAAATGTCACGCATGTTCTGACTTTAAAAAGCCAATGTTGTTAACTCTTCACAAGCTCTTTTGATTATCTGAACAACCATCAATACACACTACTACATGTAGCAGTATGTCAGCACACTTTCCATGAGTAAAATGACATAAAACTTATAAAGCTTTAATAATAGTGTAAAAAGAGAAAAAAAGAGATATCTACCTCAAGTTTTAGACATTATGAAAGCAAATGGTTCTGTAGTTTGTTAAGTTAGGGTGAACATTACAGGTGTGTTAGACAATAACAGCTTGGACAGACAAAGTGACCAGAATATATAGACACATACACTGCCTGTATGTGAACATACTAACACATTAAACAAATCATTTTAAAGAGACAGTTTCATTGTCATCCAGATAAGAAAAATGACAAAAATTTTAAAATGTATAAAAAAAATCAGAAAATTTCACCTCAGTAACAGGTATGGTCTGTCTAAAAATGTTTTATCATTGTTCCCAAGGTTTAGGTTCTCTGAGCAATCAGGAATACACACCACTGTTACAGCACACTGTCAATATTTTAAATTACACAATAGTTAATTAACAATTGCAATATTCTAAATGAGTAAGCAGGGTACTCTGGAAAAAGAACAATATAACTAAAAACACTGAAAATTACATTGAAAAGACTGGCAAATCCCAAATGACTTAAAATAGTTTTAAATGTTAATAATTTTGTCAAATCTTGTCCAGTGTTTATGAAATTTGTACAAATGATGCTTAACAACAATAAAAATCTGTGATAAGCTGATCAGTTGACTGTATGTAATGAAAAGTTTTTTTGAGGACAATATATATCGGACAACTGAAAAATTACATTGAAAAGATTGGGAAATCGCAGGACTTAAAATAATTTAAAATGTTAATAATTTTGTCAAATTTTGTCCAGTGTTTATGAAATTTGTACAAATGATGCTTAACAACAATAGAAATCTGTGATAAGCTGATCAGTTGACTGTATCTAATGAAAAGTGTTTTTAAGATAATATATTTTGGACAACTATAAAATTACATTGAAAAGACTGGGAAATTGCAGGCCTTTAAATAGTTAAACGCTAATAATTTTGTCAAAAATGGTCCAATATTTCTGAAATTTGTACAAATGATGCTTAACAACAATAAAAATCTGTAATAAGCTGATCAGTTGACTGTGACTAATGGAAAGTTTTTTTAGGACAATATGTTTCGGACAACTAAAAAATTACATTGAAAAGATTGGGAAATCGCGGGACTTAAAATAGTTAAACATTAATAATTTTGTCAAATCTAGTCCAATTTTTCTGAAATTTGTGCAAATGAAGCTAAATAACAAT